AAATTAATGAACACCCGGTAATGCGCTTATATAAATTATATAAATCATGTGACCGTTATAAAAAGCATGTTTTGGGACATTTTCTTTTTAACAATTTATCTGGTATAGGAGCATATGTTGCACCACACGCAACAAAAAATATTGTTTATAGGACAGGAAGCAAAAAGTATGGGTAATTTTGCAGCTATTGCATACTTTGAGACATTTTGAACAAAATCATAGATATATATTCAATATGAACCAAGTTAGTAAAGTCAACGGAAAGGTCTTGAAAAGTTTTGCAACTTTAATTTAACAATTAATGCAAAATTAATAAATATGAATATATAAATTAATAAAATTAATAAATTTAGTTAAACTTCTCTTTTAATTTCATCTATTTTCTAATAATACTAATATTTAAACGTGATCATGCGATACATAAAATGGACAATAATAATTTCGCGTGATATGTTTGATTTTTATATGCGCTATATATTTTTAAAATTTCCGGATGGCATATCAAAAAATCCTGCCCCAATTTTACATAAAAATTTAAAGGAAGGGGAAAAGAAAGTAGATAAAAACTGCAATTTTTACAAATCTGTCATCTATTTTATTACAATCGATAATAGAATTAGTAGTTACTCTTTTTTAGCACTTCGTAAAAGTAAACAAACAAAATTTAACAAAATGATCGCTGTTTGAAATAATCTAAAATCAGATAACATAACCAATATAATTTTTTGATAAATTTAATCAGAACTTATAAGAAAATGGATTTTACGATTTTTTTAAAATAATAATGGTTCTATCAAAATAAATCAACCATAAATTCTATCACAAAAAACAAAAAAATATAAAAACTACTTTCGTATGTTGTATCATCAAAATCCAGTCAATAGGAAATCAGCATTTCTATACTTATTAAAATTGCAGTTTTAGTAGGTAATATAATAAAAGTTATGATTAATTAATTATTAATATTTTTATCTTTTATTATTCTGTATTTTTAAATTACTATTTAAAAGCTAATTTTTAAGACGTATAAAAAATAAAAAATTCTACAGCTACATGTCCCGAAAATCTCTTCAATTTGCAATTTCAATAAATAGTCCTTTAAGTTTTTTTAATAAAACATTAAAAATCATTAATGATTAAAATAATACAACAAATTATTTAATTATTAATTAAACAAATTGTGAAATATGTGACTATATGCCATTTAGCCATTTAAGCAATAATTATGTGTGCGACTACACCGAGTGTGCATCTGGCACTACAACTTAGGATATATGTATACGGAAGTCGCTAGTTTTGTTAAAAAAAAGTATTAATTATGAACACAAACAAAACTTAAAAAAATTCTTTTAAAATTATGATAAACGCAAAAATATTTTTTTTTTTTTAGTAAATTTTACTTTTTTCGAATTAATTCATTTTTCTTACGCAAATATTTCTTTTTTCTAATTTTGTCCTTGCGCTGATTGTCCATCCAGGATTTTAATTGTTCATGAGTTCTTTTTTTCAAGCAACTATTCTGTTGAATAAAGCTCTACATTTACTCAGTGACGGTAACTTGAGCAACTTGTGAATGTCACCAAAGTTTTTCGTAATTATTTCTTTTTTCATTCCTGTCCATTTCGTGCGTTTTATTGTTCTTTGTTTTAAAGCTGTAAAGAACAAATTTTTTATATACAAATGAAACTTATTTTATACAAAATTAGCGTTACTGGCACGTATTTCGCGCACGCTATTTAACATTTCTTACTATAATTTACAATTACACATCAACCTCAATACACACAATTGTCAAAATGCAATGACAACTGCTTACACAAAGTAAGCGCAGCGAGACAACCAATCGGCATCGCGAAAAAAAGTCAACAATTTCAAGAATAACGTTTCGAGTTTGACATAACATGCCTTTTTTAGAGAGGATTACAAAAATTAACGTTAAATTTTCAAATAAAATGTAAGAATATAAATTTATAAAAATTAACATAAATATAACAATAATAATAATATTAATAATACATTTTTCATTAACTTACATCTTGAGTAATTAGTCTTGGAATTTAAAATTCCATCATCATTGTCAGCATCGTCATCATCATCATAATTTAATGCGCGAATACATCTTCTCGAAGGTTGTGATTGATGTCTAGAATTATTAATATTTTCGATATTATTATTGTTATTATCATCATCCTCCAGATGTATCTTCTATTTGCATGTCGTCATTGGATGTATCTT